TGAAAATATGTTTATAATTTGTAGTCTCCTCAACGATAGTGCAATCCAATTGTGTGTTTAGTTAGTTTTTAGACCAAACTTCGTTGTTGAAGACGGTAAAAAAATGGTGTTGTATGAAATTTGAATACTATATTCAAAATTGGGGGCTCGAATACGACGAATAATATAATATTGATAATAATGATAAATGTCTTCACATTTGCTGCAAGCCATTTAATTTATTTTAAATTTAGTTTGTATTATAAAAGATTTGAGAGTTCTTAGAGGGTTTGGGTTTGCGAGAAGTTTTATGTACACTGTTTAAAAGCTTAATTTGAATATTGTGCGTAACTAACTGACATTTCCGTTACAAATCAACAACAACGACAACAACAACTGCTGGCAAACAATCACAACAACAATATCAACAACCACAACGTCAACAACAACAACGACTACAACAACAAAAGATAATACCAGTTGATAAGCTTATTAAGGGACGTTTCCAAGACAATTTTGAATTCCTGCAATGGTTCAAGAAGTTTTTCGATGCCAATTATGATGGACGTGAATATGATCCATTGGCGCAACGTAACGGCATCAAGCTGGGCAACGGAGGCAGCCATACGGGCAGCGGTGTGGGCAGCAGCAGCACCGAGCTGCATACGATGCACCGCCGGCCACAGCAGCAGCAGCAACAGGGGCATCATCATCAGCAGCAGCCGCTACTCCACCACCACCAGTCGGCGGTGAATAATGGTCGCACTGCAGCAATACGCAGCCAAACTGGTATGGGCTCCATGAAGAACATTGCGGAAGAATATGAGATTGTTAATGATGTTAAAAAAGAAGCTGGTGACGGTGATAGTCGCTGTATGCGAGTGTTATTTGTTTTCTATCATTTTATAATCTTCTGTGTCTGGGCAAAAAAAAAAAAAAAGAAAAAAAACCAAAAAGCGAACGTGAAGCACGCGGAAGCGTAAACCAAACCCCAAAAACGACGCATACTACAAAAAGGCACACACAGAAATACACAAACACACCACTAAACATTGACATATGGTTGTGCACACACACACACTCACACAAACACATCCCGGCACTCAACACACACGCACACACAGAACCAAACACAACACAACACACACCCGCAAACACATCGTCTCTTGAGTTGTTTGTTAGTCTCTTGTTTTAGTGTGCACATTTTTCTCATATATGTAATTTGATTATATTTTTTTTTTGTTATTCTCTTTTATTTTTTGGTTAATTTTGTTTTGTTTTAAATTTAATCTGTTCTGTTTAAAACTGTCGCATACTCCTGCTCTTGGTTGTTTATTCCTCATTCCATTCAAGTACACTTGCATATTATTCTCTTTCTCTCACTCTCACACATTTTACTTTTAGATAATACCCATTGACAAATTGATAAAGGGTCGCTTCCAAGATAATTTTGAATTTTTACAATGGTTCAAAAAGTTCTTCGACGCCAATTACGATGGCAGAGATTATGATGCCAGCGCTGTACGCGAAGGTGCACCGATGGGCTTTGGCTCAGGTGCTGCTAAATCTCTGCCAGGCACAAGCAGCGGCGGCGTCGCCAGCTCTTACAGGCGTGTGCCAACGGCGGCAGCGACACGACCAGCAGCAGCAACAACGACAGCCTCAAAGCCCAGTAGGTTCTCTTGGTTTGGTTTAGAGTTTCGCAGTCGACACCACACCTTTTATTCAATCCCATCATAACCCGATCATAACATACACATCTATGTACAAATTTGTTCATCTAATCCATATTATACAACTACTATCACTCACTCATATTTAACTCTATAATTTAACAAAACTGAATGCACAAAATCTACAAAATGAAACACAACAGAGCGCCAAATTGAACGCCAGCCATTTGACGTGCTTCACGTTTGTTAAATAATTAATCTAGACCCATTTTCTTTAAGCTAACCGTGCATATAGAAGATATAGATATGATGGGTATAAACTAACCTCTATCTTTCCTCTTCTTTTATTTTTATTTTATTTATCCAATCCAAGCAGTCTCTAAGGTGCCCCCACGCACAAACAATGCGACACCACCGAATAGAATGACGGTCGGCACCACGGGAGCCGTAAAGAAGAATGATTCGGCTGGTGCGCAATCGAACCATCAGATTGAGGAATTGTCCAGTCAGGTTCGTCCACAGGTAGAGGTAGTCAGCATCAATAGTATTCATTTTTGTTTGTTTGTTCATATCGCCTTCCAAAGGTTATGGATATGCGTTTAAATCTGGAGGGTCTGGAAAAGGAGCGTGACTTCTACTTCTCAAAGCTGCGCGACATTGAAATACTGTAAGTTGAGTCTGCACTAATATTTACTTTGATTAACGTGTCGTAACTCTCCTCACAGTTGCCAGGAAGCCGATGAGGCAGAACCAGCTCAGTTAGTTCAAAAGATATTGGACATACTCTATGCAACTGAGGTAAGCGAGAGATTCATTCTAAATTCAACAACTTGCATAATCAATTTGTTTTGGCACCACAGGATGGCTTTGCGCCACCAGACGATGCACCACCAGAGGACGAAGAGTACTAAAGTATATAGTCAACAGCCCACGATTAATTGTTTGCTGCATACATATATCAAAACCGAACGGATTACTTTTAAGTCAAATTGCTGCGCTAAACTCTTAAACTGAAACTAAATTCAAAAACAACAACAACTATAACAACAGATGGAACCAATTAACCAACGAGAAACAATTCAATAACAAAGGAACTCCCATACACTCACACACACTCGCACACACACACACACACACATACACAAACAACATAGGAACAACACACTAAATAGAAATGTATTGTATAACAAATAATACGCATGGATATATACATAGATACATTACACATGTACATTAGCTATTAATAATTCATGCAAAACAATTTGACTTAGTAATTATGTAACTTAAACATTTACTAAATGGCGATTAGCAGCTGCCGATTGAACATGAATTAAAAAATATATAACGCGTTAAAACTGCTCAATTTTGTTTAAGACAAAGCTGTGTTATGTTGCCAAGCATGCAATAACAGAACATTTTGAAGAATAACTAAACAAATTCATGATCAGTCGCCTGCTGCTGTTGCTATTTAGTAAATTGAACATAGGCATATTGCATCTAAATTGTTCGTTGTAGGTAACAAAAAAAAAAAAAAAAAAAAAATTAAAAAAACACTCAACAGACAGACACAGAAACAAAAAATAAACAAAAGCGTAGCAATGAGTAGCTTGCAAGAGGAAATCGATGTAAAACACGAAATTGTTAAAAAAAAAAATATTTAAATTAAATTTATAACAATTTGTTTTTTACTAGCTTTTCAGAACAATGTGCGAATTTCTTTTTGAGAATATGAATTTATAAGTTTTAACAATCTTGTCATTGACTTTCGTTGTTTTTTGAGCAGTGTGTGTAGGAAACCAAGTCGAAGTTGTAAAATGTGAGCTAGTTTATGCAGTTGAGATTGGCAATTTGAGTTTTTCAAAATTTTCTTAAACAATAACAATCATGTGTGCGCATGATATTATGAATATAGTAGTTATTAAGCCAATTTTTGCTATCAACTCTTTTTTATTTCTATATTTATGTGTAAAAATCCGAACGTTAAAAATTTAAATAAAAAAAAAACAAAACAAGCAACTCTAATTTCTAAAAACACAACTTGATTTATTTTATGTTTGTTTATCTATAATTTAATCAACAATTTGGTTTGTTTTTGAAATTTTTCTGTCTAAAAGCCTTTTTAGTTTGAGCACAAAATGCTGTAAATATTTTGTTAGCTTGTCTTATCGTGGCTAAAATTAATGAAAATATATATATTACACACCACATATGCATTATATATACAGGAACATATAATGTATGCATGTAATTGGGCATTTATTAATGTATGTGTATAAACAAAGTTCTATAAACTAGAATAAAACATGTGTTGCTTCTTGATTCGAAATGATGCTCATCGTATTTCTCATTTGTGATATATGCTACAAAATGCATTCCATTTTAAACAAATTATTCAATTAATATTTATTGTATAATTATTAATTATCTAACGGCTGACTGAATGTCCGGCTGCTTGTGGGTGCCATCGCAGAAGGGTCGGTGCGTGGTGTGCTTGCAGTTGCAGAGCCAATAGTCGCCGGTTTTCTCCACCTTGAACCGTATGGGCCTGTGGTGAGTTTATGCATTATTTGTTAGCCCAAGGTTGTATTTTAGTTGTTATTTACCTCAGCTTAATCTTAAGAAATTCATTTTTGTGCGTACCATCGCACAGCGGCTGCGACTTGGACTTGCCGCACAGGCACCAGCTGTAGGTTTTATCTGTGTAAGTTGCAACATGTGTTGTTGATTATGTAAACATATTTTTATTATATTACAATAGGTCTACGGTAGCTGTTTAACTAACCTTTCTCCAGATGCAGTTTAAATGGTCGCTTGTCGAATACGGCGCCGTTTTCCTTTTGCAAATTCGCCGTTTGCTTATCCTCGAGCAAATTTTTGGGTATTGTTTTGGCTGTCGCAGCTGCATCGCCGCTTGATTTGGCGCTGGAGCTGTAGCAAATTTGCTGTGTAGGCAGCGTTGAGAGATGGTAAGTCTTATAAATAAGAGTATTTATGTTTAGCTACCTTTAAAAGCCAGGGCGCACGCAGTTTTTGTCTTAGTATAATCGACATTTTCGTAAAGAATTTTTGGCAAGCAGCGTTAAAGTGAAAGGCTGATATAAACAGCTGTTTGCTGTCAAAGTGTGTACCTATTTAAGTTAAAGCAATAAATGGTCACTCTAAACAGTACGAGAATTGGTAAGCTGTAAAGCGTGGTATTTAAATACCAGAAATAATTAGTAACTACAAACCAACCTGTTGATGCCCTAACTTTTTTGTGCTCATATTATATTTGTTTTCAGCTCGCTTTCATTATGCATAAATAATAATTAATTATGTTTTGTCTAATAATATAACTTTATTTTGCTGTTTGCTAGCCTTCAAGGTCATTCGCCCCCAACCATTTATTTAATTTCACAATAAAATCCGTCAACTGATAAGACAGACACTTCAAATCCCGGCGACAAACATGACAGCATTTAGCAGATATGATTTCAATGCGCCGGGAATAGAAATAAGTCAACGTAACAGTTGCATTAGTTAACTTGTACACTTTATCTCTAAACACAATCATTCAGGCTATATGTACATATATATTTTTACACGCTCAAAATGAAACAAATACTAAAAAAACTTGACAACCTTCTAATTTTGCTAGTCCCATTTACGTAAGATACCCAAGATAAGATGCGCAGCAGACTTGGCTTTTATCAAATGTGCCCATTTACAAGCTGATTAGCAAAAGTCTTCTTGCAATACAACCCTGTGTTTTGTGTGTTTTTTTTTTATTAAAAATAACTAAGCCAGCTTATTTAAATGCTTAAATAAAGAAACGTAACTCTAGAATTGATCGTGAAATGGATAATATTTGTGACCAGACATGCCGCTAAAGGGCACTGTGCGCACGCCCGTGTGATATTTCTCCATGGCGACCATATCCTCCTCCTGCAGCTCGAAATCGAATACATTAAAATTTTCGGCAATGCGCGCCTTATTCGACGACTTTGGCAGCGGCACGACGCCAATCTGTATCAGATAACGCAAACATATCTGTGCCGTCGTCCGGCCGTATTTCTTGGCCAGCTGTTGCGCACGCTCATCGTACAGGAATGGCGGCCAGTGACGCGCCGGCTGCGGGCGTGCCAGCGGGCAGTAGGCGCAGATGACGAGTCCATGTTGCTGGGCATGCTCGCGCAGCTGCTGCTGCTGGAAGGCCGGATGGCATTCCACCTGGTTGACCACGGGCTTGATGCGACAGTTTTGCAGGACGCGCAACGTTTGCGACGCATTGAAATTGGATAGGCCAATGCTGCGGGTAAGTCCCAGATCCACAAGTTTCTCCATTTCACGCCATGTATCCAAATAATCGACATCGGTCAGCTCCAGTGTGCCATGCACATTGTTGTCGTTGTGAAACTTTTGGCCAATTGGCAAATGCATCAGATACAGATCTATATAGTCCAGACCCAGGTTGCTGAGACTCAATCTAAATGCACGCTCCACAATCTCCGGATCGTGGTGTATGCCACCCAATTTGGTTGTCACAAACAGCTCCTCCCGCTTGATCACGCCCTCGGCTATTTTCTCGCGTATCGCCTTGCCCACCTCCTGTTCGTTCTCGTAGACAAACGCGGTGTCTATGTGTCTGTAGCCAATGTCGATGGCGTCACGTGTCGCCTGGTAGGCTTCCGATTCGTATGATTTCCAGGTGCCCAGGCCCAGCACGGGCATCTCCTCGCCATTGTTTAGCTTGATTCTTGGCGCTACTTTTGTCATTTTGTTGCTAATTAATGACAAATTAAATAGAAATAATTTTTGATTGTTGACGCGTTTCTAATTTCGTGTGGATCGATGATAGCGCAATCAGTTCCAGCACGTCCAAGGTTTACTGAGCAACTAGCGCGTTCTACCAGCCGGTTCTACTATTATATGATTCAGCAGCTGGTTTTGCAATTACATATAAAAAAGCCCGCATCTCTTTAATACCCTGTGTGTATTAGCCCATGCAAGAGGTTATGACAAATGTGAGCCCGGGCATGTAGCATGTAATTTGTAATTTACTGTCTATATATGTATCTACTTATTGGGTATACATTCTACTTAATTTGTTGCCTTTCGACATTTCTTATAAACAAAACGAAGCTGAGATAAAAATATTTGCGTTTGACAATTTGTCAAAAACGTAAAAAACTTCATAAATAACATAATTAAATATTCTAGAAACTGAAAAAAAATTAAAATAATTATTAAAATAATAACAATGATGATAGTTATTATAATAATAAAACAAAATAATAATTAAATAACAATAATAATAACAATAACAATAATAATAATTATAATAATAAAAGCAATTGCAATAATATAATATAATAATATTCATAAAAATAATAAATAATAACAATAATTATGCAAAGTTAAGTTAATGTGTCGACGATTATAATCGAATTTCGTACCTTGACTTTTTTGTTTGTCATAAATACTGCCACATTTGGTACTTTTGCAGGGTATTTGCACGTCATCATCTCGAAAAGCTTTTCAGTGTTTTTTTTTTTTCGTTGAGTCATGCGATGAACTCACAGCTGTCTCGGTTTTCCCACACGCACGAAAGCTTTCGCTCACGAGCTTTTTGCTGAGCGCGCTTTTATTTAAATTCAAAAATGTCTATTCATTTATTTTTTCTGCTAACACATAAAATGTTTATTTGAATATTAGTTAAAGTTGAAAATGTTCGACATTCAAAGTTACAATTGTGTCCATATGCGCTTAGGTTGTTTGCAACATTTAAAGATTATTGTTAAAATATTTTTAGCTTTGCATAAACTGTTTCTGGTATTGTAATTGGTTAAAAAGATCTGCTCCTTGAATTTGATAAATATGCATTAATATGTATTTATATGCTATTTCATTAAGATATTATTTGTTTGTTATAAATGTTGTTTATTCGTTTGCCTTGTTATTCGGCCAGCTAATTGTTCTTTATTGGTGTTGTATTCTTACTGTGAGCTCCGCTGAGCGTTTTTCTATTAAAACTAGTCTATTTTAATTATGTAATTATGATATAGCTATACTCTCTATATAGGTTGCCAAGCAGCCCATATTTATATATATAGTGTTAAGTAAAATTGTCAAGATTGTATTCGTTAGACATGGAAACATTGATTTGAACATTTAGTTAGATGGTTTTGAACATTTACTAATTTCTATTACTGACTTTTTTACTGACTCTCCGCTTAAATTATTAGAGCTATTGTGTGAATATTAAAAGCCCGGTATGGTTAAACGGAGGTATATGCGTATAGCTATAGCTTGGATCTTCGTACCCGATACATACAAATTTATGCAAAGTGCAATAGGATCAAATCAATAAAATGTTTTACAAATATAAATAAAAGTTGTACAGATTCTTTTAAGATTGTCAAATCGAATCACAAGTTAAAATTTGAAATTTTTCTCTGTTTGTTGGTTTTTCAAGTATATATATTGTTGGTATATTATTATTATTATTATTATTATTATGTTTCAAGATTTGCTACAAAATATGTATATATATATATATATTATAGCTTTATATCTAAATATTTGACACAAAAAGTTTTGGAAACATTTCTTACCTACGTAAGATCTAATTTTTGTGGGCAAGCATAAATGGTTATATTCTATAAACCCGTTCCATTTAGACAATGCCTTGGTCTACGTCTAGTATTACATTTAAACTACATATTTAGATGAGTTTTTTTTTTTTTGGTAAATTAACAGTTAGTTTTTAGAAATTTTAAATGGACAGCATTTTCCCCTTTTAGGTTTTTGTTTTGTGTGGTATATAAAGTAATTAAAGGCTTTAAATTTCTTACATTCCGTTCGCTTTGTTTGAAAAATTGGTGTTCTTTGCGTTGTTTGTCAATCAATTCAAAATTGATTAAGTATTTAATAAATTAAACAATCGTTGCATACTAAGTATACGCATATATATAAAAAAGTTTCATTCAAAAACTTCGTACAACTGATTTCTTTTATTTTCGGGAGAAACCTCTGAACTTGTATCTTGTGGGTTGATTGTTAAGAATTAAAATAGTTAACTAAATGTTACATAAATACATATAATCTACATTGTAGGGTCTGTTAGTTAGGGTAAAGTCGCCTACGTAGTGGTTCTTGTCTAAGTGGTATATCGTTGTTTGAGAGACCTTTTTGGGAGAGGAGTTGGTTTATTTTGATACTCTAAGTAACTACAGTGGCTTACTAAGTTTAACTACATTTATGTATATATATATATATATATATATATATTTATTTATATATCAAGCACTGCCTTCTAAGAGACCCTGCAGCGCAGCTAAGAACTTTAGTTGGGAGTTGAGACATTTATAGTTGGGCCTCAGAAAAGACACACACTTGATTTTGAGAACTTTCCGTTGGTTCTCTTTTAAAGTAATTCCTATTTTATGTACATCTGAATATGAAGCCATTTTAATTAGTTTTTTGTACACATTCTACAACTAATAAGGTCCCTCTCCAGTGTTTTTATTTTGTATATGCTTAAACTAAGCATATTTATATTTATTTGAATCCAACTTAAAGAAAACTAAACTCGTTTTTTTTTTCATACAAAATAAAACAACTGAAAATAACTGACTATAAATATATGTGTGTGTTTGTATTTTATTCATGGATTTTGCATAAATGAATTATGTTTATATGTGTGTATATAAAAGGAAAAGGAAAATTTAAATAAATGACTTAGCGCTACATAACTTATTTTTTTAATAACTAGCTTCAACTAGATTTGATTATGTTTATATATATGTATATATATATAAGGTTTAGTCGCTTAGTTTTATGACATGCCAATTATTCGTTTTTGTTTTTCTTATTACAAAAATAGATTCCACTTGTGTATACCCTTTACTTTTGGAGTGGTGCATAGCCTTGACTGGATATATTATTTGATTATTTGTTTTATATTTTTTTTAGTAAAGTTTTAGGAAATAGGTTTAGTACATTTGTTTTGGTTGCAGTTGCAGTTGCTGTTGTTGCTTTCTCTAAATGTTTAGTATCACACACGCCCATTTGTTTGTTTGTTTTTTTTTTGTTGCGTCCATTGGGTTTGGGAATTTCGATTCAGACCCCGCCCCCCTACCCGAAAGCCAAATGTTTTATCATTTTTGTACTAAAGCGAAACGTTTTTTTTTTTCGTTTTGTGTTTTTGTTATGTTTCAGTTCATGTTGGAAATTGATATAGTTGTTTTTTTTGCGAAGCTTACATAAATATAACTTAGTTTCTGACTAATATGAATAAAGTTAGCTTATTAGTTGATTACTTTTATATTTGGGTTTTGCCGCTTAGTTTAGAATGCACTGGTTGGTCGCTAGCGGCGGGGCAGCAGCTAAAAACAACTCAGCTAAGCTCATAACTGTGCAGTTGATTACAGTTGAATTAGTTTAATTAATGGAGCCTGTTTTAAACCAATTAATACTCATAATAGACACTAATTACGCGCTTATACTAGGGGACTATACGACGACTTGTTAACGCTGGATTTTGTTTAATTTAGCTTCCTGGTCGGCTCCACCTTCTGTGACATGGCGGTCACAACCCGCTGATTGTCAATCACACGAAAACTGCTGATGTACGCACGCACCTCGCCCTCGCTTTTGGGTGACGGCGGCTCCAGACCTGAAATAGATATTTAAAAAGAGATACTTTAAAAAGCGTACTAGCTGAATGATTTTTCATTGAATTAAATGGTCAAAGCTCTTATTAAAATTCATATAAGACATAATAAATATAATTTTGGCTTCAAGAAAAACATTTTTACAGCCTAGCAATGTTTGTAAATGTAACTAGTTGAAGCTTAAAGCAAATGTTAGCCTTTTTTTTAACTTGATGCTGGAATATGGGATCAAGCCGCCTGAAGCTTTCATGTGCTTTCCTTATTTAAAAGAAAGGACACAAAGCTTCTGGTTTCGGTTCCACATCCAAAGCTTTCTTGGACCTTTAAAGCTCTTTTAATTTAATCAAATGGTCAAAGGTCTCTATAAGAATTCGTTCCATATTCAATTGCGATTTTCAGCTAGTGTCATTTAAACTAGAATTTTGGTTAACTTACCCAAACTTCGGGAACGGCAGAAGCGTATGGTGCGCATTGTTTGGGCCATCATGTGCATTTTCTCAAAGTTGACCAGGCCGTCGAGGCTCGTCTTGTTGCCCTCGTGGGCAAAGGTCATGTCCTTGAGCAGCAGCGGCATGAAGGGTATTAGCGGGGGCTGCAGCTTGCCCACAAATACGCGATAGGCGCGATGATTGCGACTGGGATCGATGAGTGCTTCGAACTCTTGAAAGATTTTCCTGAATTTCGATGGTATCTTCTCCCAGGTCTGATGCATTCGCGTTACGGCCATATTCGACAGGCCCATGACTATGGCAAAGAAGGCATTCAGATTCTGATACTCCTTGCAACTGTAGGCGATAGAAAATGTCAATATTGTAAGGGTAGTCGATTTTGGTTAGGGTATTTGGGCACTTACTAAGCGGCCAGCTTGATGAATTTACGCACAAGGCCCACGCGCTTGCTCAGGCTGGGCGTGGAGACGAGCTCGGTGACAATCCAGTATTGCACCTCATTGAAGCGCCGCAAAAACACATCCAAATTGGCCGTAATCTGTGGCATTTGCGGTAGCAGAAGTGTCAGAGAGTCAACATTAGTATTTAACTTGGCGAGCTTTAATTGCTTGAGAGGACCTTGAAAGTTCAGGCCAACGGCTCGTGCCAAAACTCAATTTGCAGCTACATGACAAATGCCAGACTTGTAAATAGTTGGCAGCAAACTTGAAACCTTCGCTAAGTATGGCCCTCGGCCGGGGGGCGAGACGTCTCTACCTGCAGTTACAGCCTAATTAGCCGAAAGGCT